CGTGATTTCTCACTCTTACTAAATTGTCCATTTTCAATGAACCGAGCATTATCAAACTCAACTATTCTTGTACTATGGTTAGGGTAATAAAAACAATCATCCTTTTGATGTTTTAGGATAACCAATGAAGTAGCCATTAATAGTTCTTGCTTCAATCTTCTTTTCATGTGGATTGTTTAACCTTACCTTTGCTAGACAACCCCAAACATGAAGATGTCTTAAACTAGGTTTCCTTTCAATCCATAGTTCATAAGAAGTTTTAGGAACTGCTTTACTAAAAACCTTGTTAAACAAATATACAACCGTCTTTAATGAACGCATCCACTAAGATAAAGAAATATTGTTATGACTTAACATACTCTTAACCATATCCATAAGAGTATGATTTTGCCTTTCTGACACATCATTTTGTTGTGGTGTACCAGGCATTGTATATTGTGCATATATACCCCAACTGTCAAGATACTTTGCAAATAGACTTAGACATTATCCACTCTCATAAATTTACTATAATATTCACCACCTTTATTAGACCTTTTCACATTTCTATTTAATTGTCTTTCCACCTCATTTATGAATACCCTAAGGACATCCACTAATTGAATTTTTTTATATAGTAGATATATATAACAATAACGTGAGAAGTCATCAATAAAAGAGATAAAATATTTTTCACCATCCCAAGATTTAATGTCAAATTGACACAAATATCAGTGTATATTAACTCAAAAAGTTGACTACTTCTTATGATGAGATTCTTTTATATATGTTTTATTTGTTTACCCTTAATACAATCAATACATACATCTAGTAATCAAAATTCAATTGAGATAATATTTCATTTTTCACTAACCTTAACATCCTTTCTTTTGATATGTGACCCAATCTTTTATGTCATAAGAAATCAAAACATTCATTTCGTGCATTACATTTACTATCAATAACATGTTCAACATTAAACAAAGATTCAGAAAAATTAACCTCAAGATTTAAATGATATAAATCATCCAGTAAAGTACCATAACCATAACCATAATAGTATGCAAATTTATACAAATGAAAAATATTGTTTCCAATCCTAAAATTAAAATCTAAACAATCCAAGATTAAAACAAAAACCAAATTCCTAACAAAACTAAGGACATAAAGATACTTTTCAAGATGTTGATAGCAATCAATATCTAAAGTAAATTTGGAAGTCCAAATTCTTTCTATATGTACTTTTATTTTGTTCTCCATATATAAATATTTTTCAATTTCTTTTATAGACTAGATTGTAGGAATCATTGCGTAATATTAGAAACATGAGTGGTAACTCCAAAATATAATACCAAAATTATTAAGTACTTCAATAAGATTTGCCCTCTCTTACAAAATATATTTTCACTAATCCAATTTAAGTTACTTTTATCTTAATTCAAGTGAAAACAAACATTCAATTTCGAACCCCGACATTTTATGTAATCGATACTCATCATTGGCACACAAATTCAACATCAAGATCATACAAACATTTAATCATCGTTACAAACATTTATACAAAGTAATTTTCTTAAAACTATCAAATATATAATTCATATAAAAGATAGAAATATGTGTAAATATCCATTTCATCATCATAAGTACAATATATCAAAAAAATAAAAGTTAAGAAAATTAGATACTATATTAACACAAAATATTATTCAAATCTTAATTAACATACATTCATCTTTACCATGTATAATTTCAACTATATACGTACAAAAGAACACATGTGTCACTTTTTTTTAAAACAATTACTCTAATTTAGAATTTGATAAGTTAATCTTGAACTATTTTTCATAACCTTCGCGACTATAATCAATATTAAAAGAAAAAGTCAACTTGGAAACGTAGAAAACAAAATTTATAACGATAAAGTTTGAGTAAATAAAAAGTAAATTAGCTTTTCAATATGCATATCGCTTGCCTTAAAACAATCAAACTTTTTTTCTTTTTTTTATCTATTTTAAACATTATCAACAAATTTATGTATGAGTATTTACTCCCCCTGTATAAAAACACTCTTGTCCCACTTGAGTCCAGTTCATAATCAATAGTTTTCTTGACCAATCTTGTTTCAGAAGAATCTTCAGTGAATCAATCTTTGACCGTCATATATTTAAGAAATGTATGCATATAAAAAATATCATAAAGTAAATGACATATATTTATAACGTATGAACTTAATGCTCAAATGGTATGACTTTTTCTTTGTGATGTTCAGTAAATTTATCAGCAGGGCCGGCTTAGGGATAAGGCCAGTTTAGGCCTCGACCAAAAATATTAATCTCCACAGTAGCATATTTTGTGAGAAAAAAAAGGGTTACTAGTATCTGCTTGGGACGTCAATCGCAATATTTTTAAATATGTTCCAGTTACAAAATTTCTTATTTGGACCATCGCAATATTTCTTATTTTTAACATTATCATTTTGATCTTGGTGAAAATACATATCTTAATTACTTAACATTTTAAAGGTTGGAATAAACCGTAGACATTTAAGATATTGACTATAATAAACAATAATTAGTTGCTATTACGCTTTTCATATATTGAAGACAACCCTTTTCCTTTCTAATTTTCAACGAATTCTAAACAATAATAAAAATTTATAGAAGAACTTGTATCATGGAAATTGATACAAAAAACCCTTTTTGTTCTAACGTTAGAAAGACAATTCTCAAAGACAATGTTTCAATGTGAACAAGCGATTCAAATTATGTAACCACACATTGATAATATCTATAATAGTAAGTAACAACAATTCTAACGCCAAACCCTAAATTGAACAGATACTTGATCCTCTCCAAGCCGTTAAAGAAAATATCTAGCAACAAATTCTCCGTCCAAAGAACAAACTATCATGATCAAGTTCATTGTGTTGACAGCCCAAAAATAGGTTACGAGATACTATGCAACGGTACAAACACTATAATATAAGAAAGCAGGACCAGCTTGTACGCAATGAAGCAAGACCCAAAAATACATATCAAGAGTAATGTACCATTTATGATATCTTAGCCCTTGAGAAGTCCATCTCCGGATGCTGCAAAAAATAGCCAAAACATAAACAGACAGATCATTAAAGCAACTGATAAAGTGAAAATTTATGGAAGAGAAGTGAACAAGATAGTAAAGAATAACCTCCGCCATAAATTTCTTCATGAGTTCCTGCTTCTGGAGCTCTTCACTGGTTGGAAGACCCATAGACTTCTGCCTCTGGTCAAACTGCAAAACCGCAAAAGAGAATTGTAATCCAATTAGCAAGGATACGTCTTTCAGATCTAAGCAAAATGCGGAGATGTATATATCTAACAGCTATACTAGAAAGATCAATTCTTCAGCCTTGTGATCCTAGGGCTTAACAAATTATGGTTTCACAAACTTCAACAAACTAAGATATATTCATCAAATTACAAGATACATAACACCGCACACAAAAACACCAGATAATTTGTATGGTTTATATATTAACAGTTTATCAATAAATGAATAGGTGGATTCTAAACATCAAAAGAATATTAGGAAATGATGATGATAACAGAGACTAAACAGCTGCAACTAATATGACCAGTAAGTGTAAATATAATCAATGATTACCATCATTTTTTCAACAGTCTGACGAGTCTCTGGATCTAGATCAGAAAGTTTGCTGTTCTCAGGTTCAACCTTTTGGGTATCAATTTCAGGATCACCTTTCACTAGACATTTCCACCATTCCATTTGATCATGTTTGGTCAAAAGAATAGAAAGTGCACATTGATCCTCTGAAAATTAGGGTTTGATGTAAAGTGTAAGATATGAAAAGGTCATGATTCCAATACCAATAAAAAAGATCCAAAACTGCACCCCCAACATTATTAGCTCATGCATGCACATAATGTAACTTCAAAGGTTTATCAATCGCTGTAAGTAGTACAGTACCTATACTCCAATAACAATCATCAGGCTTGACAGACCGATACAACTCCCCCTGAAATTTTTAAATTCATTTATAAGCACAGCTATCACTAAAATTAGCACATAGATAATAAATATCAACTAAGTAATCGTACCATCAGTAATGAATGCTCTAGAAGGAAAAACTGACCTCAATAATTGGAGGTTGGCCTTTGAGTCCAACTTTTAGATGGTTCTTCTTTATCTCACAGACGACAAACCTTGATTTGGTTCCATTAGGCACTGGAACATTCACGTTGACTTCTTGAAGAGTCTGAGTCCAAGAGTATTGCTCTAGATCCAGTCCATTACCCTTGTTTGGAACTGATTAAGTATTGAAAGAAAAAAAATCAAGAAAATATCAGCAGCAAATCAGGTATGTGTGTTTAATGAACATCTGTATACATTAAACAAGCAGTTGAACTACAATAACACCATTTGTTCTTGTAACAGCCACAACCTAGACGACCAACATAGCCCGAATGGTCAACCCCCATCTCTTAGAACAAACCAATGGGACCAACCGACCACCAAATAGACTGACCGACCATACACCAGCCCAAATGGTCAACCCCAACTCGAAGAGCAAACCAGCAAGCCAGGCCAACCACCAAATATGACGGCCAGCCATACACCCTTCTAGATGGTCAAACCCCCAGCTCAAAGAGCATACCAATGAGCTTGACTAACCACCAAACCGACCAGCTCAGATAGTCAAATACTAGCTCAAAGAGTAAACCAACTAGCCCAACCAGTCACCAAACAAGCCGACAAGCCATGCACCAGCTTGAATAATCAAGCACCACCTTAGAGAGCAAGCCACTGAGCCAAAATGATCACCAATCAAACTGTTTGTCCTTGAATTGGATGGATCAGAATGAAAGTACTAGAGTAGATTAACCTTAAAACTGATTAATTTAAGATACAATTGGGCCATAATTAGGCCATCGTTAATCAAAACCCACTACAAAACTTATAAATAAAGGTTTAAAGTAAGAAGGTAGGTGATGTTAATTAACTATTGCATTCATTGCTATTTGTTAAAAGCTATATAGACTTTGGCATCAAAGTACCTTTTGCAGGTACCATCCAACCGATTTGGATGCACAGGAGACCACTCACTGGACAATAATTGGACCTTGGCTGACACAACAAAGCCTGGAACAGTTGACCTTAACTCCACACTCGAAACATTTTGGTACCTACTATGGGACCGAGTGATCAATGTTATAACCCTATGGTAACCACTAGAAACATGACAAGCAACATAGCTACATAGGAGACTAACAACCAACCCAATCAAATTGAGATGCTCAGAAGTGCAGATGAAGGAGATGGGTGCATATATGAAGAGGAGCTGGCAACCCTTAGCATAGAGAGCACAAGTATGCGTCAAGAACAAAATGCAAGGAATTCAGTGCCTTATGCACCAACCCAACCCACCCTGACTAGGCCGAGCAAGGACCCATGCAGAACTGCTCACGATGGCAGCATGAGAGCCAGTAGGGATCACCCGTCCATGCTCACTAGAACATAACCAGGTTGCTTCCTTTCACACCAGGCATAATGAAAACCCTGTTTGGTAACAGATGGACCATCCCAACTTTTGAGAAGTATCAACCCCACCAGTTTTGACGAACATCATGAAATGTTCATGAACCATATGGCATTCTACACCTCAAATGACCCCGTTTGATGTAGGGCCTTCTCCATCTCGCTCAAGGGAGAAGCGTTGGCCTAGTTCAATTCCCTAACACCCAACTTAATCAACAACTTCGCCACCATTCGCTCTAAGTTTGGGGCATAGTTTGCTACAAGTTAGCCACACGATCTAACATCTCTTGCCTTGGTGAATATCATGCAGAAGAGGAAAAGTCACTCTAGGCGTTCATGGAGGACAACAAGGCACATCCAGAACCTTAGTCATGAGGTGGCCTTGCAACATATGATCATGGCCTTACAACCTAGAGCCTTTGCTGACAACCTTNTTTACCCTTAATACAATCAATACATACATCTAGTAATCAAAATTCAATTGAGATAATATTTCATTTTTCACTAACCTTAACATCCTTTCTTTTTATATGTGACCCAATCTTTTATGTCATAAGAAAGCAAAACATTCATTTCGTGCATTACATTTACTATCAATAACATGTTCAACATTAAACAAAGATTCAAAAAAATTAACCTCAAGATTTAAATAATATAAATCATCCAGTAAAGTACCATAACCATAATAGTATGCAAGTTTATACAAATGAAAAATATTGTTTCCAATTCTAAAATTAAAATCTAAACAATCCAAGATTAAAACAAAAACCAAATTCCTAACAAAACTAAGGACATAAAGATACTTTTTAAAATGTTGATAGCAATCAATATCTAAAGTAAATTTGGAAGTCCAAATTCTTTCTATATGTAATTTTATTTTGTTCTCCATATATAAATATTTTTCAATTTCTTTTATAGACTAGATGGTAGGAATCATTGCGTAATATTAAAAACATGAGTGGTAACTCCAAAATATAATACCAAAATTATTAAGTACTTCAATAAGATTTGCCCTCTCTTACAAAATATATTTTCACAAATCCAATTTAAGTTACTTTTATCTTAATTCAAGTGAAAACAAACATTCAATTTCGAACCCCGACATTTTATATAATCGATACTCATCATTGGCACACAAATTCAACATCAAGATCATACAAACATTTAATCATCGTTACAAACATTTATACAAAGTAATTTTCTTAAAACTATCAAATATATAATTCATATAAAAGATAAAAATATGTGTAAATATCCATTTCATCATCATAAGTACAATATATCAAAAAAATAAAAGTTAAGAAAATTAGATACTATATTAACACAAAATATTATTCAAATCTTAATTAACATACATTCATCTTTACCATGTATAATTTCAACTATATACGTACAAAAGAACACATGTATCACTTTTTTTTAAAACAATTACTCTAATTTAGAATTTGATAAGTTAATCTTGAACTATTTTTCATAACCTTCGCGACTATAATCAATATTAAAAGAAAAAGTCAACTTGGAAACGTAGAAAACAAAATTTATAACGATAAAGTTTGAGTAAATAAAAAGTAAATTAGCTTTTCAATATGCATATCGCTTGCCTTAAAACAATCAAACTTTTTTTCTTTTTTTTATCTATTTTAAACATTATCAACAAATTTATGTATGAGTATTTACTCCCCCTGTATAAAAACACTCTTGTCCCACTTGAGTCCAGTTCATAATCAATAGTTTTCTTGACCAATCTTGTTTCAGAAGAATCTTCAGTGAATCAATCTTTGACCGTCATATATTTAAGAAATGTATGCATATAAAAAATATCATAAAGTAAATGACATATATTTATAACGTATGAACTTAATGCTCAAATGGTATGACTTTTTCTTTGTGATGTTCAGTAAATTTATCAGCAGGGCCGGCTTAGGGATAAGGCCAGTTTAGGCCTCGACCAAAAATATTAATCTCCACAGTAGCATATTTTGTGAGAAAAAAAAGGGTTACTAGTATCTGCTTGGGACGTCAATCGCAATATTTTTAAATATGTTCCAGTTACAAAATTTCTTATTTGGACCATCGCAATATTTCTTATTTTTAACATTATCATTTTGATCTTGGTGAAAATACATATCTTAATTACTTAACATTTTAAAGGTTGGAATAAACCGTAGACATTTAAGATATTGACTATAATAAACAATAATTAGTTGCTATTACGCTTTTCATATATTGAAGACAACCCTTTTCCTTTCTAATTTTCAACGAATTCTAAACAATAATAAAAATTTATAGAAGAACTTGTATCATGGAAATTGATACAAAAAACCCTTTTTGTTCTAACGTTAGAAAGACAATTCTCAAAGACAATGTTTCAATGTGAACAAGAGATTCAAATTATGTAACCACACATTGATAATATCTATAATAGTAAGTAACAACAATTCTAACGCCAAACCCTAAATTGAACAGATACTTGATCCTCTCCAAGCCGTTAAAGAAAATATCTAGCAACAAATTCTCCGTCCAAAGAACAAACTATCATGATCAAGTTCATTGTGTTGACAGCCCAAAAATAGGTTACGAGATACTATGCAACGGTACAAACACTATAATATAAGAAAGCAGGACCAGCTTGTACGCAATGAAGCAAGACCCAAAAATACATATCAAGAGTAATGTACCATTTATGATATCTTAGCCCTTGAGAAGTCCATCTCCGGATGCTGCAAAAAATAGCCAAAACATAAACAGACAGATCATTAAAGCAACTGATAAAGTGAAAATTTATGGAAGAGAAGTGAACAAGATAGTAAAGAATAACCTCCGCCATAAATTTCTTCATGAGTTCCTGCTTCTGGAGCTCTTCACTGGTTGGAAGACCCATAGACTTCTGCCTCTGGTCAAACTGCAAAACCGCAAAAGAGAATTGTAATCCAATTAGCAAGGATACGTCTTTCAGATCTAAGCAAAATGCGGAGATGTATATATCTAACAGCTATACTAGAAAGATCAATTCTTCAGCCTTGTGATCCTAGGGCTTAACAAATTATGGTTTCACAAACTTCAACAAACTAAGATATATTCATCAAATTACAAGATACATAACACCGCACACAAAAACACCAGATAATTTGTATGGTTTATATATTAACAGTTTATCAATAAATGAATAGGTGGATTCTAAACATCAAAAGAATATTAGGAAATGATGATGATAACAGAGACTAAACAGCTGCAACTAATATGACCAGTAAGTGTAAATATAATCAATGATTACCATCATTTTTTCAACAGTCTGACGAGTCTCTGGATCTAGATCAGAAAGTTTGCTGTTCTCAGGTTCAACCTTTTGGGTATCAATTTCAGGATCACCTTTCACTAGACATTTCCACCATTCCATTTGATCATGTTTGGTCAAAAGAATAGAAAGTGCACATTGATCCTCTGAAAATTAGGGTTTGATGTAAAGTGTAAGATATGAAAAGGTCATGATTCCAATACCAATAAAAAAGATCCAAAACTGCACCCCCAACATTATTAGCTCATGCATGCACATAATGTAACTTCAAAGGTTTATCAATCGCTGTAAGTAGTACAGTACCTATACTCCAATAACAATCATCAGGCTTGACAGACCGATACAACTCCCCCTGAAATTTTTAAATTCATTTATAAGCACAGCTATCACTAAAATTAGCACATAGATAATAAATATCAACTAAGTAATCGTACCATCAGTAATGAATGCTCTAGAAGGAAAAACTGACCTCAATAATTGGAGGTTGGCCTTTGAGTCCAACTTTTAGATGGTTCTTCTTTATCTCACAGACGACAAACCTTGATTTGGTTCCATTAGGCACTGGAACATTCACGTTGACTTCTTGAAGAGTCTGAGTCCAAGAGTATTGCTCTAGATCCAGTCCATTACCCTTGTTTGGAACTGATTAAGTATTGAAAGAAAAAAAATCAAGAAAATATCAGCAGCAAATCAGGTATGTGTGTTTAATGAACATCTGTATACATTAAACAAGCAGTTGAACTACAATAACACCATTTGTTCTTGTAACAGCCACAACCTAGACGACCAACATAGCCCGAATGGTCAACCCCCATCTCTTAGAACAAACCAATGGGACCAACCGACCACCAAATAGACTGACCGACCATACACCAGCCCAAATGGTCAACCCCAACTCGAAGAGCAAACCAGCAAGCCAGGCCAACCACCAAATATGACGGCCAGCCATACACCCTTCTAGATGGTCAAACCCCCAGCTCAAAGAGCATACCAATGAGCTTGACTAACCACCAAACCGACCAGCTCAGATAGTCAAATACTAGCTCAAAGAGTAAACCAACTAGCCCAACCAGTCACCAAACAAGCCGACAAGCCATGCACCAGCTTGAATAATCAAGCACCACCTTAGAGAGCAAGCCACTGAGCCAAAATGATCACCAATCAAACTGTTTGTCCTTGAATTGGATGGATCAGAATGAAAGTACTAGAGTAGATTAACCTTAAAACTGATTAATTTAAGATACAATTGGGCCATAATTAGGCCATCGTTAATCAAAACCCACTACAAAACTTATAAATAAAGGTTTAAAGTAAGAAGGTAGGTGATGTTAATTAACTATTGCATTCATTGCTATTTGTTAAAAGCTATATAGACTTTGGCATCAAAGTACCTTTTGCAGGTACCATCCAACCGATTTGGATGCACAGGAGACCACTCACTGGACAATAATTGGACCTTGGCTGACACAACAAAGCCTGGAACAGTTGACCTTAACTCCACACTCGAAACATTTTGGTACCTACTATGGGACCGAGTGATCAATGTTATAACCCTATGGTAACCACTAGAAACATGACAAGCAACATAGCTACATAGGAGACTAACAACCAACCCAATCAAATTGAGATGCTCAGAAGTGCAGATGAAGGAGATGGGTGCATATATGAAGAGGAGCTGGCAACCCTTAGCATAGAGAGCACAAGTATGCGTCAAGAACAAAATGCAAGGAATTCAGTGCCTTATGCACCAACCCAACCCACCCTGACTAGGCCGAGCAAGGACCCATGCAGAACTGCTCACGATGGCAGCATGAGAGCCAGTAGGGATCACCCGTCCATGCTCACTAGAACATAACCAGGTTGCTTCCTTTCACACCAGGCATAATGAAAACCCTGTTTGGTAACAGATGGACCATCCCAACTTTTGAGAAGTATCAACCCCACCAGTTTTGACGAACATCATGAAATGTTCATGAACCATATGGCATTCTACACCTCAAATGACCCCGTTTGATGTAGGGCCTTCTCCATCTCGCTCAAGGGAGAAGCGTTGGCCTAGTTCAATTCCCTAACACCCAACTTAATCAACAACTTCGCCACCATTCGCTCTAAGTTTGGGGCATAGTTTGCTACAAGTTAGCCACACGATCTAACATCTCTTGCCTTGGTGAATATCATGCAGAAGAGGAAAAGTCACTCTAGGCGTTCATGGAGGACAACAAGGCACATCCAGAACCTTAGTCATGAGGTGGCCTTGCAACATATGATCATGGCCTTACAACCTAGAGCCTTTGCTGACAACCTTTGTATGAAGCCAACAGAGGACATGGACGAGCTAAGGCAGTGAGCCGCTCAATTCATGCAGGTTGAAGAAATGCAGGACTGCTGACGACAAATGAGACAGGAAGCCCGTCGAGCGATAAGATGGCAAACAAGAGAAAGCAAAGGGAAAAGAGCAACACTCGCTCCAAGGAGTTGTCTAGGGGCCACGGTTTCATCAATACACTCCTCTTAGTGCCCCTACGACAATGATACTTGAAGAAGCTCTAAATGCCGAGTTGTTACCACCTCAGAGGAATAAGGCCATCCCTCGAGATGCCGATGGCAATAAGCATTCCCTATATCACAAGAACATGAAAAACACAATGAAGGACTGTATCACCCTTCGTGATAAAATAAAATAGTTGATTCGAGCAGACCACCTCAAGAAATACGTCAAGACCGAGAGGGAGGAGAGGAGCCTGCCTCGCAGGCGCAGTTTTAAGAGAACTACACACTACAATTCGAGAACTAAGTATCGCACGTAACCCTCTAATGCAAAAGCTGAAGCAACCGCCCACTCAAAAGGCATATCAATACAATCTTAGGGGGATTTGCGGTAGGTGGGTCTTCAACATGAGCATGCAAAAGGCATATTCGAGTACTAAAGACTATTCATCTCATTAAGGCCTTGTTCTTTTGAGTGGATTTAAGGGAGTGAATTTCAGGGGATTTGAAGATAATTTTTTTTGTCGTTTTTTTGAGCGAATTTGGAGGTAAATGAGAGTAAGTTTGAAAATAAAATTTGTGAGAATTAATATAGAATTGTATTGACGTGACATTAAAAAAAATTATTTTCAAATTCACTTTCATTTACCTTCAAATTTGCTCAAAAAAACGACAAAAAAAATTATCTTCAAATCCTCTCAAATCCCCTCAAATCCACTCTCTCAAATCCACTCAAAAGAACAAGCCCTAAAAGGAAACTGAGGATTACACCTCCCATCACTTTCACGGACGACGGCTTCAAAGCTCCAAACCCCAACCATGATAACCCAATGATGATCAATATTGATCGACTAGGGCAGCTCGGCCAATATCTTATATTGGAAAACGTTCTTGAAGATGGACATATATGATGACCTCATTGTGCCTTACAATGTGCAAATCATAGGATTCTTGAGCGAGAGTGTGGATACACGAGGATATTTGGATCTCATGACGAGGTTCGAAATTAGACAGAACAATTGTAAGGTCCATGATTTTTGAAAATTAACAAAAAGTTTAGTAAGTTAACACAAATTGGTAATCAATCGTGAAAACAAAGAAGTTAACTTACTAAACACATCATCACAAAGGGTCAAAGACCCATAACACAATAAGGGTCTTTCAGAAGGGAGACAGTGAGGGAGCTGGTCAATAATCACTACTGTCACCACTTCATCGGATCTCATTGTCAATATGTGCCAAGAGGTCACCCCTTTAGGGTCTAGTAGAAGAGAATCTAAGCTGATTGTCCACATAAAAAAAGCACTTCCAACCGACCTCAATGATTCCAACCTTGAAGTACCCATTCTTACACCCTTTGAATGAGGCCACATACAAAGAAAACAACCACCTCCCCTTTGACCCCACACCCAAAATAGTTCTAATCCATAAGTACTATGTCAATGCAACAATAGGATAAAATGCATGGAACACGTATTTTTATTCCAGCCCTCTCTCTTCCTAACAAATTTTCTATTCACTAATGATTTAACCAAGGTATCTGATCAGGACCCTCGTCCAAAATGCCAAAAGGTGCACTTTGAACATAATGTCAATCAAAAGTAAAAAANATCAAGAGTAATGTACCATTTATGATATCTTAGCCCTTGAGAAGTCCATCTCCGGATGCTGCAAAAAATAGCCAAAACATAAACAGACAGATCATTAAAGCAACTGATAAAGTGAAAATTTATGGAAGAGAAGTGAACAAGATAGTAAAGAATAACCTCCGCCATAAATTTCTTCATGAGTTCCTGCTTCTGGAGCTCTTCACTGGTTGGAAGACCCATAGACTTCTGCCTCTGGTCAAACTGCAAAACCGCAAAAGAGAATTGTAATCCAATTAGCAAGGATACGTCTTTCAGATCTAAGCAAAATGCGGAGATGTATATATCTAACAGCTATACTAGAAAGATCAATTCTTCAGCCTTGTGATCCTAGGGCTTAACAAATTATGGTTTCACAAACTTCAACAAACTAAGATATATTCATCAAATTACAAGATACATAACACCACACACAAAAACACCAGATAATTTGTATGGTTTATATATTAACAGTTTATCAATAAATGAATAGGTGGATTCTAAACATCAAAAGAATATTAGGAAATGATGATGATAACAGAGACTAAACAACTGCAACTAATATGACCAGTAAGTGTAAATATAATCAATGATTACCATCATTTTTTCAACAGTCTGACGAGTCTCTGGATCTAGATCAGAAAGTTTGCTGTTCTCAGGTTCAACCTTTTGGGTATCAATTTCAGGATCACCTTTCACTAGACATTTCCACCATTCCATTTGATCATGTTTGGTCAAAAGAATAGAAAGTGCACATTGATCCTCTGAAAATTAGGGTTTGATGTAAAGTGTAAGATATGAAAAGGTCATGATTCCAATACCAATAAAAAAGATCCAAAACTGCACCCCCAACATTATTAGCTCATGCATGCACATAATGTAACTTCAAAGGTTTATCAATCGCTGTAAGTAGTACAGTACCTATACTCCAATAACAATCATCAGGCTTGACAGACCGATACAACTCCCCCTGAAATTTTTAAATTCATTTATAAGCAAAGCAATCACTAAAATTAGCACATAGATAATAAATATCAACTAAGTAATCGTACCATCAGTAATGAATGCTCTAGAAGGAAAAACTGACCTCAATAATTGGAGGTTGGCCTTTGAGTCCAACTTTTAGATGGTTCTTCTTTATCTCACAGAAGACAAACCTTGATTTGGTTCCATTAGGCACTGGAACATTCACGTTGACTTCTTGAAGAGTCTGAGTCCAAGAGTATTGCTCTAGATCCAGACCATTACCCTTGTTTGGAACTGATTAAGTATTGAAAGAAAAAAAATCAAGAAAATATCAGCAGCAAATCAGGTATGTGTGTTTAATGAACATCTGTATACATTAAACAAGCAGTTGAACTACAATAACACCATTTGTTCTTGTAACAGCCACAACCTAGACGACCAACATAGCCCGAATGGTCAACCCCCATCTCTTAGAACAAACCAATGGGACCAACCGACCACCAAATAGACTGACCGACCATACACCAGCCCAAATGGTCAACCCCAACTCGAAGAGCAAACCAGCAAGCCAGGCCAACCACCAAATATGACGGCCAGCCATACACCCTTCTAGATGGTCAAACCCCCAGCTCAAAGAGCATACCAATGAGCTTGACTAACCACCAAACCGACCAGCTCAGATAGTCAAATACTAGCTCAAAGAGTAAACCAACTAGCCCAACCAGTCACCAAACAAGCCGACAAGCCATGCACCAGCTTGAATAATCAAGCACCACCTTAGAGAGCAAGCCACTGAGCCAAAATGATCACCAATCAAACTGTTTGTCCTTGAATTGGATGGATCAGAATGAAAGTACTAGAGTAGATTAACCTTAAAACTGATTAATTTAAGATACAATTGGGCCATAATTAGGCCATCGTTAATCAAAACCCACTACAAAACTTATAAATAAAGGTTTAAAGTAAGAAGGTAGGTGATGTTAATTAACTATTGCATTCATTGCTATTTGTTAAAAGCTATATAGACTTTGGCATCAAAGTACCTTTTGCAGGTACCATCCAACCGATTTGGATGCACAGGAGACCACTCACTGGACAATAATTGGACCTTGGCTGACACAACAAAGCCTGGAACAGTTGACCTTAACTCCACACTCGAAACATTTTGGTACCTACTATGGGACCGAGTGATCAATGTTATAACCCTATGGTAACCACTAGAAACATGACAAGCAACATAGCTACATAGGAGACTAACAACCAACCCAATCAAATTGAGATGCTCAGAAGTGCAGATGAAGGAGATGGGTGCATATATGAAGAGGAGCTGGCAACCCTTAGCATAGAGAGCACAAGTATGCGTCAAGAACAAAATGCAAGGAATTCAGTGCCTTATGCACCAACCCAACCCACCCTGACTAGGCCGAGCAAGGACCCATGCAGAACTGCTCACGATGGCAGCATGAGAGCCAGTAGGGATCACCCGTCCATGCTCACTAGAACATAACCAGGTTGCTTCCTTTCACACCAGGCATAATGAAAACCCTGTTTGGTAACAGATGGACCATCCCAACTTTTGAGAAGTATCAACCCCACCAGTTTTGACGAACATCATGAAATGTTCATGAACCATATGGCATTCTACACCTCAAATGACCCCGTTTGATGTAGGGCCTTCTCCATCTCGCTCAAGGGAGAAGCGTTGGCCTAGTTCAATTCCCTAACACCCAACTTAATCAACAACTTCGCCACCATTCGCTCTAAGTTTGGGGCATAGTTTGCTACAAGTTAGCCACACGATCTAACATCTCTTGCCTTGGTGAATATCATGCAGAAGAGGAAAAGTCACTCTAGGCGTTCATGGAGGACAACAAGGCACATCCAGAACCTTAGTCATGAGGTGGCCTTGCAACATATGATCATGGCCTTACAACCTAGAGCCTTTGCTGACAACCTTTGTATGAAGCCAACAGAGGACATGGACGAGCTAAGGCAGTGAGCCGCTCAATTCATGCAGGTTGAAGAAATGCAGGACTGCTGACGACAAATGAGACAGGAAGCCCGTCGAGCGATAAGATGGCAAACAAGAGAAAGCAAAGGGAAAAGAGCAACACTCGCTCCAAGGAGTTGTCTAGGGGCCACGGTTTCATCAATACACTCCTCTTAGTGCCCCTACGACAATGATACTTGAAGAAGCTCTAAATGCCGAGTTGTTACCACCTCAGAGGAATAAGGCCATCCCTCGAGATGCCGATGGCAATAAGCATTCCCTATATCACAAGAACATGAAAAACACAATGAAGGACTGTATCACCCTTCGTGATAAAATAAAATAGTTGATTCGAGCAGACCACCTCAAGAAATACGTCAAGACCGAGAGGGAGGAGAGGAGCCTGCCTCGCAGGCGCAGTTTTAAGAGAACTACACACTACAATTCGAGAACTAAGTATCGCACGTAACCCTCTAATGCAAAAGCTGAAGCAACCGCCCACTCAAAAGGCATATCAATACAATCTTAGGGGGATTTGCGGTAGGTGGGTCTTCAACATGAGCATGCAAAAGGCATATTCGAGTACTAAAGACTATTCATCTCATTAAGGCCTTGTTCTTTTGAGTGGATTTAAGGGAGTGAATTTCAGGGGATTTGAAGATAATTTTTTTTGTCGTTTTTTTGAGCGAATTTGGAGGTAAATGAGAGTAAGTTTGAAAATAAAATTTGTGAGAATTAATATAGAATTGTATTGACGTGACATTAAAAAAAATTATTTTCAAATTCACTTTCATTTACCTTCAAATTTGCTCAAAAAAACGACAAAAAAAATTATCTTCAAATCCTCTCAAATCCCCTCAAATCCACTCTCTCAAATCCACTCAAAAGAACAAGCCCTAAAAGGAAACTGAGGATTACACCTCCCATCACTTTCACGGACGACGGCTTCAAAGCTCCAAACCCCAACCATGATAACCCAATGATGATCAATATTGATCGACTAGGGCAGCTCGGCCAATATCTTATATTGGAAAACGTTCTTGAAGATGGACATATATGATGACCTCATTGTGCCTTACAATGTGCAAATCATAGGATTCTTGAGCGAGAGTGTGGATACACGAGGATATTTGGATCTCATGACGAGGTTCGAAATTAGACAGAACAATTGTAAGGTCCATGATTTTTGAAAATTAACAAAAAGTTTAGTAAGTTAACACAAATTGGTAATCAATCGTGAAAACAAAGAAGTTAACTTACTAAACACATCATCACAAAGGGTCAAAGACCCATAACACAATAAGGGTCTTTCAGAAGGGAGACAGTGAGGGAGCTGGTCAATAATCACTACTGTCACCACTTCATCGGATCTCATTGTCAATATGTGCCAAGAGGTCACCCCTTTAGGGTCTAGTAGAAGAGAATCTAAGCTGATTGTCCACATAAAAAAAGCACTTCCAACCGACCTCAATGATTCCAACCTTGAAGTACCCATTCTTACACCCTTTGAATGAGGCCACATACAAAGAAAACAACCACCTCCCCTTTGACCCCACACCCAAAATAGTTCTAATCCATAAGTACTATGTCAATGCAACAATAGGATAAAATGCATGGAACACGTATTTTTATTCCAGCCCTCTCTCTTCCTAACAAATTTTCTATTCACTAATGATTTAACCAAGGTATCTGATCAGGACCCTCGTCCAAAATGCCAAAAGGTGCACTTTGAACATAATGTCAATCAAAAGTAAAAAATCTTATATTGGAAGGTGCAAAAGTATACTCTACCACGATTTCAAATGAACTCTCCTAATAAAAAATTTCTATCCAATGGTTGCTTAACTAATCCCCTAAAGACAGTGGTGAGGGGTGTTGGAGTTGACATGTAAGTGACAGTCCATCACCATATAAATGAGAAAGATCAATAAACCTATTCGATTTTGGCTGGAAGTTAGTGTCATGTTCTTGGCTCATGGCCCACGGGTGAAATCTTGCCTGGTTTTCTTCCCCTAGGATTCTCCAACAAGCCAAATACATGCACTATAGCTAGATATTGTGCCTTTAGGTATTGTACCGTATGGTTATCCGATCTGATCAGCCACAGATCGGAAAATCAACCATAAGTCACATCATCTAACAAACCATTAGTGAACCTGGTCGGCCATAATGTAAACCGATTGGTCATCCATCAGAATACATTAACCTTAACGCTGATCAACTTAAAGATAAAATTTTAAATATGATTTGTTGCCATTGGATCGTGATTAAGTTATTACTATTTTAAACCTCGTCCTGAAATTTATAAATAAATGTTAGAGATAAAGAGATAGTTGATTTTAAAATCAAAATGTCTGCTCCATTATCCTCATAATAACTTCTAAGACTGTTAACCTCCACCCCTACCCGAAAAAGGTATCAACCCCCCATTTCAACCCCAAATTAACGCAAACAGTATGTTGACAAACTACCTATCACATGCAATGGTCATTACATGCGTTGCCACTGTACACCTAAATTAAACGGAAGAAAAATAAACGATCTACAAGAAAAAATTGTTGTTAAACAAGGACATTACATTCCCTCATGATTCCCAACAAAGCAAGCCCTTACTCTCAGCGACACCGTCAATTAAAGAATTTTTAGGGCAAGACATAATAATCGCACATTGGAAAACGATGAAACGGTTTCCGCTAGTTTACCTTTGGAGGCGCCGCTGTCTTCTTCCGCTTTGTGTTCCTTCTCCTCCTTCAATCTCTTCTCGGCCTTTTTTCTGTCCTCCGTGGCTTTGAGTTCCTCCCTTTTCTTCTTCTCCGCCTTCTCCCTCTCTTCGGAGGCCTTGAGCTGGTCTCTCCTCTTCTTACCGGCAGCGCGCACCAGCGACACTACCTGCTTCTCGGCGGCCTCCGTGCCCAGAAAGTCACTCTGTTCGGAGACAAATTCAAATACTTTCTGGAGGAAAGCGATGGGGTTTGATCGGTCGAAAGGGGAAGTGAAGGATGTAGAAGAAGAAGATGAAGAGGATTGGGATTGCGAGGAGCGGGTGGGTTTCTGCTCTTCTTCGTTGAAATCGGAGATGATAGCCATTGGAGAGTTGAGAGAAGAGTGTTTGCCGCTGTTGAATGGATCCCCTCTTTATTCTGAAACTTTGAAATCGAACTTTCCAGTTCCCCAAGTATTTATACAATTTTAAAATATGGGCCTTTGTTGGCCCATGCCAAAAATGTAGAAATCAAATTTTACAATTGTATTTGATATTAGAAGATAAAGCTATTTACTAAAAACTTACTCATTAAAAATATAATTATTTTATTTAATATATTGAACTCAACTTTTTAATTTTTATCATATAATTTAAAAATATTGACCATATGAATTTAATATATTCTAACAAAAATAGAAATCAAGAGTAAACATGATTAACGTTATTATGATATTAAATCTTCTAAATATAACATTGATCGAATTCACCTTAATCTTAAATCTTTGTCAGAATATGTTAACTTAATTTTGTAAAAGACTTTTCTGAAAATAAAAAATTATTAACTTTGCAGATAATAAGTATAAATATATAAGTATTAATTATGGCAATTAAAACTACTATTTGTCTAATAAAGAAAAAGGTACGAGTATTTATTTTTCAGATATAAATATTATGTTGAATATTTAATTTATCTACCCATTATCCACATGTGTTGGTATCAAAGATAAAAAAAAAAGTTATTCTCACTTTTGGTTTCAAATTTATTTGGAAAATTTAAATAAATTTATTATTTTTATTTGGTGTAATTAAATTCTTTAATTTTAAAAAATATTTAATTAGGTCATTCTATTTAATTTTATATTTGTACATATCAATCAATTTGTAATATTTTTATTTTTCAATTTAAAAAAAGATCAAATTATTTTTATACAATGTCAATAATATATTTGTATAATGTCACGTGTCAATATTATTGTAAATTGAAAATATTTTAATTTAATCTAGTCATAATATTTAAAATTTTGAGTTAATTTAGTATAAATTTGTATAAAAATGAAATAATATTATCTTTCTAGAAGAAGGTTGAGTAGTAAAAGGAAATGGTAAATTATTGTTATATCTTGGAATTTGATGACTGAACTGAGGATTGAGGCATGTATTTGTNTAAGTTTGGGGCATAGTTTGCTACAAGTTAGCCACACGATCTAACATCTCTTGCCTTGGTGAATATCATGCAGAAGAGGAAAAGTCACTCTAGGCGTTCATGGAAGACAACAAGGCACATCCAGAACCTTAGTCATGAGGTGGCCTTGCAACATATGATCATGGCCTTACAACCTAAAGCCTTTGCTGACAACCTTTGTATGAAGCCAACAGAGGACATGGACGAGCTAAGGCAGTGAGCCGCTCAATTCATGCAGGTTGAAGAAATGCAGGACTGCTGACGACAAATGAGACAGGAAGCCCGTCGAGCGATAAGATGGCAAACAAGAAAAAGCAAAGGGAAAAGAGCAACACTCGCTCCAAGGAGTTGTCTAGGGGCCACGGTTTCATCAATACACTCCTCTTAGTGCACCTACGACAATGATACTTGAAGAAGCTCTAAATGCCGAGTTGTTACCACCTCAGAGGAATAAGGCCATCCCTCGAGATGCCGATGGCAATAAGCATTCCCTATATCACAAGAACATGAAAAACACAATGAAGGACTGTATCACCCTTCGTGATAAAATAAAATAGTTGATTCGAGCAGACCACCTCAAGAAATACGTCAAGACCGAGAGGGAGGAGAGGAGCCTGCCTCGCAGGCGCAGTTTTAAGAGAACTACACACTACAATTCGAGAACTAAGTATCGCACGTAACCCTCTAATGCAAAAGCTGAAGCAACCGCCCACTCAAAAGGCATATCAATACAATCTTAGGGGGATTTGCGGTAGGTGGGTCTTCAACATGAGCATGCAAAAGGCATATTCGAGTACTAAAGACTATTCATCTCATTAAGGCCTTGTTCTTTTGAGTGGATTTAAGGGAGTGAATTTCAGGGGATTTGAAGATAATTTTTTTTGTCGTTTTTTTGAGCGAATTTGGAGGTAAATGAGAGTAAGTTTGAAAATAAAATTTGTGAGAATTAATATAGAATTGTATTGACGTGACATTAAAAAAAATTATTTTCAAATTCACTTTCATTTACCTTCAAATTTGCTCAAAAAAACGACAAAAAAAATTATCTTCAAATCCTCTCAAATCCCCTCAAATCCACTCTCTCAAATCCACTCAAAAGAACAAGCCCTAAAAGGAAACTGAGGATTACACCTCCCATCACTTTCACGGACGACGGCTTCAAAGCTCCAAACCCCAACCATGATAACCCAATGATGATCAATATTGATCGACTAGGGCAGCTCGGCCAATATCTTATATTGGAAAACGTTCTTGAAGATGGACATATATGATGACCTCATTGTGCCTTACAATGTGCAAATCATAGGATTCTTGAGCGAGAGTGTGGATACACGAGGATATTTGGATCTNAAGGTAGGTGATGTTAATTAACTATTGCATTCATTGCTATTTGTTAAAAGCTATATAGACTTTGGCATCAAAGTACCTTTTGCAGGTACCATCCAACCGATTTGGATGCACAGGAGACCACTCACTGGACAATAATTGGACCTTGGCTGACACAACAAAGCCTGGAACAGTTGACCTTAACTCCACACTCGAAACATTTTGGTACCTACTATGGGACCGAGTGATCAATGTTATAACCCTATGGTAACCACTAGAAACATGACAAGCAACATAGCTACATAGGAGACTAACAACCAACCCAATCAAATTGAGATGCTCAGAAGTGCAGATGAAGGAGATGGGTGCATATATGAAGAGGAGCTGGCAACCCTTAGCATAGAGAGCACAAGTATGCGTCAAGAACAAAATGCAAGGAATTCAGTGCCTTATGCACCAACCCAACCCACCCTGACTAGGCCGAGCAAGGACCCATGCAGAACTGCTCACGATGGCAGCATGAGAGCCAGAAGGGATCACCCGTCCATGCTCACTAGAACATAACCAGGTTGCTTCCTTTCACACCAGGCATAATGAAAACCCTGTTTGGTAACAGATGGACCATCCCAACTTTTGAGAAGTATCAACCCCACCAGTTTTGACGAACATCATGAAATGTTCATGAACCAAATGGCATTCTACACCTCAAATGACCCCGTTTGATGTAGGGCCTTCTCCATCTCGCTCAAGGGAGAAGCGTTGGCCTAGTTCAATTCCCTAACACCCAACTTAATCAACAAATTCGCCACCATTCGCTATAAGTTTGGGGCATAGTTTGCTACAAGTTAGCCACACGATCTAACATCTCTTGCCTTGGTGAATATCATGCAGAAGAGGAAAAGTCACTCTAGGCGTTCATGGAAGACAACAAGGCACATCCAGAACCTTAGTCATGAGGTGGCCTTGCAACATATGATCATGGCCTTACAGCCTAAAGCCTTTGCTGACAACCTTTGTATGAAGCCAACAGAGGACATGGACGAGCTAAGGCAGTGAGCCGCTCAATTCATGCAGGTTGAAGAAATGCAGGACTGCTGACGACAAATGAGACAGGAAGCCCGTCGAGCGATAAGATGGCAAACAAGAGAAAGCAAAGGGAAAAGAGCAACACTCGCTCCAAGGAGTTGTCTAGGGGCCACGGTTTCATCAATACACTCCTCTTAGTGCCCCTACGACAATGATACTTGAAGAAGCTCTAAATGCCGAGTTGTTACCACCTCAGAGGAATAAGGCCATCCCTCGAGATGCCGATGGCAATAAGCATTCCCTATATCACAAGAACATGAAAAACACAATGAAGGACTGTATCACCCTTCGTGATAAAATAAAATAGTTGATTCGAGCAGACCACCTCAAGAAATACGTCAAGACCGAGAGGGAGGAGAGGAGCCTGCCTCGCAGGCGCAGTTTTAAGAGAACTACACACTACAATTCGAGAACTAAGTATCGCACGTAACCCTCTAATGCAAAAGCTGAAGCAACCGCCCACTCAAAAGGCATATCAATACAATCTTAGGGGGATTTGCGGTAGGTGGGTCTTCAACATGAGCATGCAAAAGGCATATTCGAGTACTAAAGACTATTCATCTCATTAAGGCCTTGTTCTTTTGAGTGGATTTAAGGGAGTGAATTTCAGGGGATTTGAAGATAATTTTTTTTGTCGTTTTTTTGAGCGAATTTGGAGGTAAATGAGAGTAAGTTTGAAAATAAAATTTGTGAGAATTAATATAGAATTGTATTGACGTGACATTAAAAAAAATTATTTTCAAATTCACTTTCATTTACCTTCAAATTTGCTCAAAAAAACGACAAAAAAAATTATCTTCAAATCCTCTCAAATCCCCTCAAATCCACTCTCTCAAATCCACTCAAAAGAACAAGCCCTAAAAGGAAACTGAGGATTACACCTCCCATCACTTTCACGGACGACGGCTTCAAAGCTCCAAACCCCAACCATGATAACCCAATGATGATCAATATTGATCGACTAGGGCAGCTCGGCCAATATCTTATATTGGAAAACGTTCTTGAAGATGGACATATATGATGACCTCATTGTGCCTTACAATGTGCAAATCATAGGATTCTTGAGCGAGAGTGTGGATACACGAGGATATTTGGATCTCATGACGAGGTTCGAAATTAGACAGAACAATTGTAAGGTCCATGATTTTTGAAAATTAACAAAAAGTTTAGTAAGTTAACACAAATTGGTAATCAATCGTGAAAACAAAGAAGTTAACTTACTAAACACATCATCACAAAGGGTCAAAGACCCATAACACAATAAGGGTCTTTCAGAAGGGAGACAGTGAGGGAGCTGGTCAATAATCACTACTGTCACCACTTCATCGGATCTCATTGTCAATATGTGCCAAGAGGTCACCCCTTTAGGGTCTAGTAGAAGAGAATCTAAGCTGATTGTCCACATAAAAAAAGCACTTCCAACCGACCTCAATGATTCCAACCTTGAAGTACCCATTCTTACACCCTTTGAATGAGGCCACATACAAAGAAAACAACCACCTCCCCTTTGACCCCACACCCAAAATAGTTCTAATCCATAAGTACTATGTCAATGCAACAATAGGATAAAATGCATGGAACACGTATTTTTATTCCAGCCCTCTCTCTTCCTAACAAATTTTCTATTCACTAATGATTTAACCAAGGTATCTGATCAGGACCCTCGTCCAAAATGCCAAAAGGTGCACTTTGAACATAATGTCAATCAAAAGTAAAAAATCTTATATTGGAAGGTGCAAAAGTATACTCTACCACGATTTCAAATGAACTCTCCTAATAAAAAATTTCTATCCAATGGTTGCTTAACTAATCCCCTAAAGACAGTGGTGAGGGGTGTTGGAGTTGACATGTAAGTGACAGTCCATCACCATATAAATGAGAAAGATCAATAAACCTATTCGATTTTGGCTGGAAGTTAGTGTCATGTTCTTGGCTCATGGCCCACGGGTGAAATCTTGCCTGGTTTTCTTCCCCTAGGATTCTCCAACAAGCCAAATACATGCACTATAGCTAGATATTGTGCCTTTAGGTATTGTACCGTATGGTTATCCGATCTGATCAGCCACAGATCGGAAAATCAACCATAAGTCACATCATCTAACAAACCATTAGTGAACCTGGTCGGCCATAATGTAAACCGATTGGTCATCCATCAGAATACATTAACCTTAACGCTGATCAACTTAAAGATAAAATTTTAAATATGATTTGTTGCCATTGGATCGTGATTAAGTTATTACTATTTTAAACCTCGTCCTGAAATTTATAAATAAATGTTAGAGATAAAGAGATAGTTGATTTTAAAATCAAAATGTCTGCTCCATTATCCTCATAATAACTTCTAAGACTGTTAACCTCCACCCCTACCCGAAAAAGGTATCAACCCCCCATTTCAACCCCAAATTAACGCAAACAGTATGTTGACAAACTACCTATCACATGCAATGGTCATTACATGCGTTGCCACTGTACACCTAAATTAAACGGAAGAAAAATAAACGATCTACAAGAAAAAATTGTTGTTAAACAAGGACATTACATTCCCTCATGATTCCCAACAAAGCAAGCCCTTACTCTCAGCGACACCGTCAATTAAAGAATTTTTAGGGCAAGACATAATAATCGCACATTGGAAAACGATGAAACGGTTTCCGCTAGTTTACCTTTGGAGGCGCCGCTGTCTTCTTCCGCTTTGTGTTCCTTCTCCTCCTTCAATCTCTTCTCGGCCTTTTTTCTGTCCTCCGTGGCTTTGAGTTCCTCCCTTTTCTTCTTCTCCGCCTTCTCCCTCTCTTCGGAGGCCTTGAGCTGGTCTCTCCTCTTCTTACCGGCAGCGCGCACCAGCGACACTACCTGCTTCTCGGCGGCCTCCGTGCCCAGAAAGTCACTCTGTTCGGAGACAAATTCAAATACTTTCTGGAGGAAAGCGATGGGGTTTGATCGGTCGAAAGGGGAAGTGAAGGATGTAGAAGAAGAAGATGAAGAGGATTGGGATTGCGAGGAGCGGGTGGGTTTCTGCTCTTCTTCGTTGAAATCGGAGATGATAGCCATTGGAGAGTTGAGAGAAGAGTGTTTGCCGCTGTTGAATGGATCCCCTCTTTATTCTGAAACTTTGAAATCGAACTTTCCAGTTCCCCAAGTATTTATACAATTTTAAAATATGGGCCTTTGTTGGCCCATGCCAAAAATGTAGAAATCAAATTTTACAATTGTATTTGATATTAGAAGATAAAGCTATTTACTAAAAACTTACTCATTAAAAATATAATTATTTTATTTAATATATTGAACTCAACTTTTTAATTTTTATCATATAATTTAAAAATATTGACCATATGAATTTAATATATTCTAACAAAAATAGAAATCAAGAGTAAACATGATTAACGTTATTATGATATTAAATCTTCTAAATATAACATTGATCGAATTCACCTTAATCTTAAATCTTTGTCAGAATATGTTAACTTAATTTTGTAAAAGACTTTTCTGAAAATAAAAAATTATTAACTTTGCAGATAATAAGTATAAATATATAAGTATTAATTATGGCAATTAAAACTACTATTTGTCTAATAAAGAAAAAGGTACGAGTATTTATTTTTCAGATATAAATATTATGTTGAATATTTAATTTATCTACCCATTATCCACATGTGTTGGTATCAAAGATAAAAAAAAAAGTTATTCTCACTTTTGGTTTCAAATTTATTTGGAAAATTTAAATAAATTTATTATTTTTATTTGGTGTAATTAAATTCTTTAATTTTAAAAAATATTTAATTAGGTCATTCTATTTAATTTTATATTTGTACATATCAATCAATTTGTAATATTTTTATTTTTCAATTTAAAAAAAGATCAAATTATTTTTATACAATGTCAATAATATATTTGTATAATGTCACGTGTCAATATTATTGTAAATTGAAAATATTTTAATTTAATCTAGTCATAATATTTAAAATTTTGAGTTAATTTAGTATAAATTTGTATAAAAATGAAATAATATTATCTTTCTAGAAGAAGGTTGAGTAGTAAAAGGAAATGGTAAATTATTGTTATATCTTGGAATTTGATGACTGAACTGAGGATTGAGGCATGTATTTGTTTTCTCTTTTTAAGTGGTGACTTTGAATCCATGAAAAATTATTATTCTTCTAGTCAAGCCAAGCTTCAATCTTAGAAAGATCTTTTGACCTAATCAATTGTGTGTGAAGTGTGTGAGCTAGATGATGTGCAAAAGCTGATGAAATTCTATGATAAGGGTTTCGGTAGGGTTGAGATCCTTAACTCAAAACATTCAAAGTTGTCCACTCCATCATCCAGGTTGCGCTATTCTCTCTCTTCTCCTTGTTCTAGCCATGGGGGAGGGTGCTAGTAGAAGACACCCTGACGCTCAAGTCAATGACTTTGCGTAATAATCTTGAAATAAATATTAGTAATTAGAGTTAATTACCTGCCTTTTTTGTAAGACATATATTTATAAATATTATAATGAGCTTACCATTAGGTCTGACTCATTAATCACCAATAAATAGTTATTATTCTCCTTAACCATTAATTGCTATTATTACCCAGATTAATTACCAGTTAATGATTGTTCTGGACCGGTAAGTTCCTTGCTGGATGGTCGACCGCTTGGTTCCTTGGTTGATCGAGTGGTCATACAGTACACAAGCCCCCAAGCCCAAACACGATATAATGTGCGAAGGGTTTTTAGGTAGTATGCTTTCAATGCGGATTAATTTTACCTTCGACACGTGTCTTTGTGTGTTGTTGTACGTTTGACCAAGATTCTGAACCTCTTGACCACTCGTTAAGTAAGGGAGGAGTTGAAAAAGTTCCTTGACCACTTTTGAGTGACTCGACAGGAGTTAAAAGACATTCCCTGTCAGTTGGTTGAAGGTAAGTCAGGAGTTAAAAAACGTTCCCTAACCACCTGTAAAGGGTTCAACAGGAGTTGAAAAACGTTCCCTACCAGCTAGTTGAAGGTAAGTTAGGAGTTGAAAAACGTTCCCTGACCACCTATGAAAGGCTCGACAAGAGTTGAAAAATGTTTCCTGCCAGTTGGTTGAAGGTAAGTCAGGAGTTGAAAAACGTTCCCTGTCGGCCGGTTGCTCAAAGTTGGCCAAGTGGTTTGTATGCAAGGGTCCTATCATTTGCACTTAAGAAAAATAACAATTCAATTTTGAACGATCAGAAAAATGTAGCTAATAAAATTAAGCTATAGCTAATAAAATTAAGCTAGTTTAAGTTATAAGATTAGATGGCCAGATAAGCGAGACGTTTTCGGTTAAATGTTTGAAGATAAAAATGAGCAATCCATATTAAGATGTGCATGACTGAGATTAATGCCTAATGCCTTGTGACCTACAGCACTGTGACTTATATGGAGGTTCACCTCCGCTAATACTATCAGATTGCCGATAACCTCTTGAAGCAGACAAGTATAATATCATCAAGATTATCATGCTCTGTTGCCCAATAAAAGAGCAACTTATAAGAAGAGATCACGACGACCTATATTGGATGATCTTAAATCTTTGAAGCCCAAGTTTGAATGTCGAGTGGAAAAATTAAAAGACTTGCATGTAAAAACTTCACTGCCCGAGGGAAATTGCTTCAATAAAGCTTTGCAGAGTTTTGTAAATTCATCTTTGGAGTGGCCGATTGTCACTAAAAGTAATAACTTGAGTGTTTATTTTAAACAGCCTTCTGGCTTCGATTCACACTCTTCATGGAGTTATAATAGTATGTCATCATCATATTCCAAGCCTATTGATAAGCAGTTTCAAAAACCATCTCTTAGTCTACCTGCTCCAAATAAGGAGATTTTGTCCAGGCACTCAATTTTAGGACCAAATGGCCTGCGCGGTCCCTGGCTTGGACCTAGTGTAGAAATAAAGGTTTAGAGACAATCAAATGGGCTTTGTAACTCTGAACGACCACAGTCGCGCCGCAAGCTGACCAGACCATGGTAGTCCACGTTGGAGTTGTCTCCCGAAGCTACCCTCTGTTTCAGTTCTTGAATCTTCGTGGTGAGGGCATAGAGTTTCCTAGGAATTTCTCTAGCGCGCACATTTTGGTGCTTCCAGGCAGGACTAACGAGTTTGCAATCGTGCAAGATGGTGTTGTGGAGGAGTTTGAGGTCGTGGAGTGCATCTAGGGAGCAACAAATGGATTCTAGAAGAGAGACTCGGGCTTCCAAAGCTTGGATGAAGGTGGGATCCAAGGCGAGGGTTTTGTTACCATCAACGATAGAATCAGCGATTCGGCCGGATTCGTGAGCGAAGGCCCTACGCTCTCCTTTTATATATATATATTTATTTATTTATTTTATAGAACGAGGGAGGAATGGATGATGCCCTTGGAGAAAAGTTTTTCTTCACCCTCTATAAGTGAAGCTAAGAGCTATCTTTTTACGACACTCCATCTCCTCACGCACGACTTTCTCATGATGGGGTGCAATGAGTTTTCATTCTCATGGCCTTTGAAATTTGAATTTCTATCAAATGGTGGTGATTTCATAATATCCCATCCATTGGACTTATTGATCTCGATGAACTCTACAACCTGTTATGTTGTTTGCACAAAGTATCAGAACCTAAAGCGACAATGTTGGGACAGGTGGCTAGGTGATTGNTTCTTACACCCTTTGAATGAGGCCACATACAAAGAAAACAACCACCTCCCCTTTGACCCCACACCCAAAATAGTTCTAATCCATAAGTACTATGTCAATGCAACAATAGGATAAAATGCATGGAACACGTATTTTTATTCAAGCCCTCTCTCTTCCTAACAAATTTTCTATTCACTAATGATTTAACCAAGGTATCTGATCAGGACCCTAGTCCAAAATGCCAAAAGGTGCACTTTGAACATAATGTCAATCAAAAGTAAAAAATCTTATATTGGAAGGTGCAAAAGTATACTCTACCACGATTTCAAATGAACTCTCCTAATAAAAAATTTCTATCCAATGGTTGCTTAACTAATCCCCTAAAGACAGTGGTGAGGGGTGTTGGAGTTGACATGTAAGTGACAGTCCATCACCATATAAATGAGAAAGATCAAAAAACCTATTCGATTTTGGCTGGAAGTTAGTGTCATGTTCTTGGCTCATGGCCCACGGGTGAAATCTTGCCTGGTTTTCTTCCCCTAGGATTCTCCAACAAGCCAAATACATGCACTATAGCTAGATATTGTGCCTTTAGGTATTGTACCGTATGGTTATCCGATCTGATCAGCCACAGATCGGAAAATCAACCATAAGTCACATCATCTAACAAACCATTAGTGAACCTGGTCGGCCATAATGTAAACCGATTGGTCATCCATCAGAATACATTAACCTTAACGCTGATCAACTTAAAGATAAAATTTTAAATATGATTTGTTGCCATTGGATCGTGATTAAGTTATTACTATTTTAAACCTCGTCCTGAAATTTATAAATAAATGTTAGAGATAAAGAGATAGTTGATTTTAAAATCAAAATGTCTGCTCCATTATCCTCATAATAACTTCTAAGACTGTTAACCTCCACCCCTACCCGAAAAAGGTATCAACCCCCCATTTCAACCCCAAATTAACGCAAACAGTATGTTGACAAACTAACTATCACATGCAATGGTCATTACATGCGTTGCCACTGTACACCTAAATTAAACGGAAGAAAAATAAACGATCTACAAGAAAAAATTGTTGTTAAACAAGGACATTACATTCCCTCATGAATCCCAACAAAGCAAGCCCTTACTCTCAGCGACACCGTCAATTAAAGAATTTTTAGGGCAAGACATAATAATCGCACATTGGAAAACGATGAAACGGTTTCCGCTAGTTTACCTTTGGAGGCGCCGCTGTCTTCTTCCGCTTTGTGTTCCTTCTCCTCCTTCAATCTCTTCTCGGCCTTTTTTCTGTCCTCCGTGGCTTTGAGTTCCTCCCTTTTCTTCTTCTCCGCCTTCTCCCTCTCTTCGGAGGCCTTGAGCTGGTCTCTCCTCTTCTTACCGGCAGCGCGCACCAGCGACACTACCTGCTTCTCGGCGGCCTCCGTGCCCAGAAAGTCACTCTGTTCGGAGACAAATTCAAATACTTTCTGGAGGAAAGCGATGGGGTTTGATCGGTCGAAAGGGGAAGTGAAGGATGTAGAAGAAGAAGATGAAGAGGATTGGGATTGCGAGGAGCGGGTGGGTTTCTGCTCTTCTTCGTTGAAATCGGAGATGATAGCCATTGGAGAGTTGAGAGAAGAGTGTTTGCCGCTGTTGAATGGATCCCCTCTTTATTCTGAAACTTTGAAATCGAACTTTCCAGTTCCCCAAGTATTTATACAATTTTAAAATATGGGCCTTTGTTGGCCCATGCCAAAAATGTAGAAATCAAATTTTACAATTGTATTTGATATTAGAAGATAAAGCTATTTACTAAAAACTTACTCATTAAAAATATAATTATTTTATTTAATATATTGAACTCAACTTTTTAATTTTTATCATATAATTTAAAAATATTGACCATATGAATTTAATATATTCTAACAAAAATAGAAATCAAGAGTAAACATGATTAACGTTATTATGATATTAAATCTTCTAAATATAACATTGATCGAATTCACCTTAATCTTAAATCTTTGTCAGAATATGTTAACTTAATTTTGTAAAAGACTTTTCTGAAAATAAAAAATTATTAACTTTGCAGATAATAAGTATAAATATATAAGTATTAATTATGGCAATTAAAACTACTATTTGTCTAATAAAGAAAAAGGTACGAGTATTTATTTTTCAGATATAAATATTATGTTGAATATTTAATTTATCTACCCATTATCCACATGTGTTGGTATCAAAGATAAAAAAAAAAGTTATTCTCACTTTTGGTTTCAAATTTATTTGGAAAATTTAAATAAATTTATTATTTTTATTTGGTGTAATTAAATTCTTTAATTTTAAAAAATATTTAATTAGGTCATTCTATTTAATTTTATATTTGTACATATCAATCAATTTGTAATATTTTTATTTTTCAATTTAAAAAAAGATCAAATTATTTTTATACAATGTCAATAATATATTTGTATAATGTCACGTGTCAATATTATTGTAAATTGAAAATATTTTAATTTAATCTAGTCATAATATTTAAAATTTTGAGTTAATTTAGTATAAATTTGTATAAAAATGAAATAATATTATCTTTCTAGAAGAAGGTTGAGTAGTAAAAGGAAATGGTAAATTATTGTTATATCTTGGAATTTGATGACTGAACTGAGGATTGAGGCATGTATTTGTTTTCTCTTTTTAAGTGGTGACTTTGAATCAATGAAAAATTATTATTCTTCTAGTCAAGCCAAGCTTCAATCTTAGAAAGATCTTTTGACCTAATCAATTGTGTGTGAAGTGTGTGAGCTAGATGATGTGCAAAAGCTGATGAAATTCTATGATAAGGGTTTCGGTAGGGTTGAGATCCTTAACTCAAAACATTCAAAGTTGTCCACTCCATCATCCAGGTTGCGCTATTCTCTCTCTTCTCCTTGTTCTAGCCATGGGGGAGGGTGCTAGTAGAAGACACCCTGACGCTCAAGTCAATGACTTTGCGTAATAATCTTGAAATAAATATTAGTAATTAGAGTTAATTACCTGCCTTTTTTGTAAGACATATATTTATAAATATTATAATGAGCTTACCATTAGGTCTGACTCATTAATCACCAATAAATAGTTATTATTCTCCTTAACCATTAATTGCTATTATTACCCAGATTAATTACCAGTTAATGATTGTTCTGGACCGGTAAGTTCCTTGCTGGATGGTCGACCGCTTGGTTCCTTGGTTGATCGAGTGGTCATACAGTACACAAGCCCCCAAGCCCAAACACGATATAATGTGCGAAGGGTTTTTAGGTAGTATGCTTTCAATGCGGATTAATTTTACCTTCGACACGTGTCTTTGTGTGTTGTTGTACGTTTGACCAAGATTCTGAACCTCTTGACCACTCGTTAAGTAAGGGAGGAGTTGAAAAAGTTCCTTGACCACTTTTGAGTGACTCGACAGGAGTTAAAAGACATTCCCTGTCAGTTGGTTGAAGGTAAGTCAGGAGTTAAAAAACGTTCCCTAACCACCTGTAAAGGGTTCAACAGGAGTTGAAAAACGTTCCCTACCAGCTAGTTGAAGGTAAGTTAGGAGTTGAAAAACGTTCCCTGACCACCTATGAAAGGCTCGACAAGAGTTGAAAAATGTTTCCTGCCAGTTGGTTGAAGGTAAGTCAGGAGTTGAAAAACGTTCCCTGTCGGCCGGTTGCTCAAAGTTGGCCAAGTGGTTTGTATGCAAGGGTCCTATCATTTGCACTTAAGAAAAATAACAATTCAATTTTGAACGATCAGAAAAATGTAGCTAATAAAATTAAGCTATAGCTAATAAAATTAAGCTAGTTTAAGTTATAAGATTAGATGGCCAGATAAGCGAGACGTTTTCGGTTAAATGTTTGAAGATAAAAATGAGCAATCCATATTAAGATGTGCATGACTGAGATTAATGCCTAATGCCTTGTGACCTACAGCACTGTGACTTATATGGAGGTTCACCTCCGCTAATACTATCAGATTGCCGATAACCTCTTGAAGCAGACAAGTATAATATCATCAAGATTATCATGCTCTGTTGCCCAATAAAAGAGCAACTTATAAGAAGAGATCACGACGACCTATATTGGATGATCTTAAATCTTTGAAGCCCAAGTTTGAATGTCGAGTGGAAAAATTAAAAGACTTGCATGTAAAAACTTCACTGCCCGAGGGAAATTGCTTCAATAAAGCTTTGCAGAGTTTTGTAAATTCATCTTTGGAGTGGCCGATTGTCACTAAAAGTAATAACTTGAGTGTTTATTTTAAACAGCCTTCTGGCTTCGATTCACACTCTTCATGGAGTTATAATAGTATGTCATCATCATATTCCAAGCCTATTGATAAGCAGTTTCAAAAACCATCTCTTAGTCTACCTGCTCCAAATAAGGAGATTTTGTCCAGGCACTCAATTTTAGGACCAAATGGCCTGCGCGGTCCCTGGCTTGGACCTAGTGTAGAAATAAAGGTTTAGAGACAATCAAATGGGCTTTGTAACTCTGAACGACCACAGTCGCGCCGCAAGCTGACCAGACCATGGTAGTCCACGTTGGAGTTGTCTCCCGAAGCTACCCTCTGTTTCAGTTCTTGAATCTTCGTGGTGAGGGCATAGAGTTTCCTAGGAATTTCTCTAGCGCGCACATTTTGGTGCTTCCAGGCAGGACTAACGAGTTTGCAATCGTGCAAGATGGTGTTGTGGAGGAGTTTGAGGTCGTGGAGTGCATCTAGGGAGCAACAAATGGATTCTAGAAGAGAGACTCGGGCTTCCAAAGCTTGGATGAAGGTGGGATCCAAGGCGAGGGTTTTGTTACCATCAACGATAGAATCAGCGATTCGGCCGGATTCGTGAGCGAAGGCCCTACGCTCTCCTTTTATATATATATATTTATTTATTTATTTTATAGAACGAGGGAGGAATGGATGATGCCCTTGGAGAAAAGTTTTTCTTCACCCTCTATAAGTGAAGCTAAGAGCTATCTTTTTACGACACTCCATCTCCTCACGCACGACTTTCTCATGATGGGGTGCAATGAGTTTTCATTCTCATGGCCTTTGAAATTTGAATTTCTATCAAATGGTGGTGATTTCATAATATCCCATCCATTGGACTTATTGATCTCGATGAACTCTACAACCTGTTATGTTGTTTGCACAAAGTATCAGAACCTAAAGCGACAATGTTGGGACAGGTGGCTAGGTGATTGTTTTTCATTCTACCACTAGTCTGTCATTTGTGGCTACATGGGGATGCCTCTCGATCTAACGGTGGACGCCAAAATGTTTATACTGAAATGAGACAAGGATACTTCGCGTACGATACTCCTGCTTTGGATGAACGTGCGTTTCATGTGCTCTTGGTGATCGATCAATTTAAGGGGATTGACCTGCAGATGATACTCCGACGCTCAAGTCAGAATTTTTTTCTAGATGTCTATAGTAAATCAATTATGGAAAACAGTGTCTTTACCTTGACTTTAACCCTCTATTTATAGAGTTTACAGAATCTAACAAATTAATTTACCTTATAATGGTCATTAATGTCAACCTTAACTCATCATCAATGGTAGTTACCGTATTGATTGCGCTTTAACTCTGCTCAACTGTTGTCTTAACCGAATGGCTACGAAGTCCTCCTTCAAAATCCAGTTGTCTGGTCCACTCGACTTAGCACGCAGTCATGCCTGATCGGTCGAGTCTAACCCTATAGTAACAATGATTATTATTATAATATAATAATAATAATAATAATAATATAATATAATATAATATAATAATAATAATAATGACAATAAAATAAATTCATTATTTGTGAAAACACATTTTGTAAGAATATAGAAAATAATGTATTAGAGTTGGTAGGTGTATTAAAATAGTGAGACCGAGTATTTTATTGTAAAGTAACTTTATAATATAAAAACAATTTTTTAAACTCGTCTCATTACTTAAAAATACTCTATCTCTCTAAAACTATTTTTCTTCGTTTTCTCTCACTTCTTTCTTAGTGTTCTTGTTCTCAAGTCATCTATTTGACGATTAGGAGGTGTCTAGACGATCACGACGTCAAGGTCTACCTATTTGCCCGATCAATTTGTGGTTTAGAGCAAGTAAGTTTTCATCTCTTTTTCTTGGTATTTTCTTCATCCTTGGTCATGCAAAAAAAATATGTTTGCATGTGTCAAGCTTCTTCCTTCTTTAATTCTTGACTCAATTTAGGTTCTAAAATTTGTCTCCAATCATCAATTTGTGATTTGTAGGTGTTTTTAAAAGTTCCTTGCGGTGTAAGCAATGGTCGAGGAATCATATAACTGTAGAAGTTTTCTAGAGGTAAGGGGAGCTAAAATTTTCTTTGATTGATATTGGTTGTGCAAATCTGATGATTTCATGAGTATTGAATTGTTGAGCGAAATTTTTATTGATGAATTTGATAATTCACTTGATTTTGGGGTATTTGGGTATGTAATGATAACATGCTGTTATGAATATTATTGTATGCTGATTTGAAGTGGAATTGAATGTTGATATGTTAAATTTTTTGTTTGGAATGGGTATGAGGAAGTTGAGAGATTAAAGAGTTGAAAACTAGAATTTTAATTGGGTTTTAAAGCAAAATATGAGGTCTAAGATAGTGAAATGGTGAGAAAGGGATGGTGAACTGGTTTGATGCAGTTTTGGTCAGTTATGAAGTGT